CATTCTCTTTCAGAGTTTGGTATTTATTATTCTAATACCTCCTAGCTTAAAGGGTCTAGGTTTAGAAATTGGCTGAGAGGGCTGGGGATGTGGCTCAAGCGGTAGCGCGCTCACCTGGCATGCGTGCGGCCCGGGTTCGATCCTCAGCACCACATACCAACAAAGATGTTGTGTCTGCTGAGAACTAAAAAATAAATATTAAAAATTCTCTCTCTCTCTCTCTCCTCTCTCACTCTCTCTTTAAAAAAAAAAAAAAGAAATTGGCTGGTTTGGATTCCTTCTAAATGTTACCAGTTGCTTTTCTCTGGCAGCCTTTAAAATTCTGTCTTATTCTGTATGTTCAGTATTTTTGTAATAATGTGCCTTGATGTAGCTCTGTTGTAATTTTGTATATTTGGGGTCCTGTAAGCCTCTTGTCTTTGGTTTTCCATTTTGTTCTTAAGGTTTGGGAATTTTCTGATATTATTTCATTGAAAAGATTGCATATTCCTTTGGTTTATATCTCTGAGCCTTCATTTATCCTAATAAATTTTAAGTTTAGCCTTTTCATGTTATACCATATTTGTTGGAATTTCTCTTCATGGTCTCTTAACATTTTTCTCCAGGGTCAACTTTATTTTCTAGATTATATACTTTGTCTTCATTGCCTGAAACTCTGTCTTCCAAATGGTCTAGTTTATTAGTGATGCTTTCAATTAAATTTTTAATTTGTTTTAGTGATTCCTTTATTTTGAGGATTTCTGATTCTTCTTCAAGATCTCTATCTCTTTGTTGAAATGTTCTTTGATTCTTGTTTTTCTCTCTGATTTTATTTCTTATGTCACCTTTTACTTTGTAGATCAATTTAACCACGAACTTTCTGAATTTTATCTCTGACATTTTCTCCTCTATGGTGTCATTGGAGTCTACTGTTGAGGTATTTTGGGTTGTTTGTTTCCTTGCTTTTTCATGATTTTGTGTCTGCATGTTTATCTAGATGGATCTGATGCTGTAGAGTTTATACCTTATGGGTTTAAAATGTCACTTTATGTTACTAGTACTTCACAGATTGGGGCAGGGGAGCCCAATGATAGCAACAATGTATGCGAATAATATATAGCAGTAGCCTTGATCCTTTTTTCTTATTTTCATACCAATATAATTGGTACAATATGTAGGGGCAGTGGGATCAGAAATTTCCATCAGTAAAAACAGTACATTATCATGTATTATATGTGGCTTAAAATCAAACAATAAGTGTTGTGTATGCTTTCCACTGTATTAATTATTGATGTGACATTGGTGGTAGGTGTAGATGTTATACACTTCAATTAGTATTAAGAAGTATTAAGGATAGAGTTGAGTATGTGTGAAGAAGAAGAGATAGGAGGGTACAAAAGTGTTTGCAATGTCAAAGGGTGAATAGGGCAGATGCAGTGGTAACTTAGGATATGTTTGTTAGTTTGAAAGGGGATGAAAAATAGAATATAAAGGAGGAGAAAGAGAATGGAATTTGGGTGTCAGGAATAGAGAAATGAGAAAGGAAAACAAGGGAGACAGAGCAGTGATAAAGATGATACAAAACAAAATCAAAGTAAGCTAATCATAAGCCCTAACCCTCAAAATACAGAGCATGGGAAATAACACCTTGAAAAAACTCAAAATAACAACAACAACAACAAAAAGAATGAAAGAAAGGAAAATAAAAGAAAGAAGAAAAAAGAAAAATAAGGATAGAGAAACAAATATGAATATGTGTAGGAGTCCTTGAATCAGTCAATAGTCATTTAAATAAAACAAGAATCCAATATGGAACCCCCAAATCAAAAAACAAAACAGAAATGCTGCCACAACAAACAAGCCACAACAACACAAAGAGAATTTTTGTTAAATGTCAATAAATTAAGGAGTCATATCTATTATGGTGGACAAAATAGTCAGTTTCTGTATGTGTTCACTGACTGTGCCCACCTGCTTTTCTTTTTACTTCTTCTTGAGGTATGATCAAACCTTGCAAGTACGGGCCATGGATTGTGTCTCCTTCCTTTTATTGTATTGCTGTGTTGAAGGTTTGAGTTTTAGACTTCCTAATTTACCTTCTTGGGAGATTTTCCTTCTTTGGGGGCAAGTTGAGGCCCGGTCACATAAGAGACCCACCTGTTTTATGCCAGGTGGATTTTAGGCCAGGCACTGGGACCTGTCGGCTGGCTGCAAAGCTGAAAGCAGTGGGCCAAGTCAGGGGCCAGGGTGGGTTTGGGAAACTATGGAGTGGGGCGCCAAGGGCCCTGTTGGGTGCCAGACTGATACTGAACCTGGTGGGTCTCAGGGACTAGCTGAACTGGGGAGGGATTCAGGGACCAGGCTGGTGCTGGGACCTGGTGAGTGCTGGACCAGCTGGCTGGCTGAACCGAAAGCAAAATGTCCTCTTCCAGCTTCCCACCCACATAAATGGACCCATCAGTCCCCATGAACCTCAGGACTTGAGAAGTTGGGGAGAGCCCAGCTCTCTCCAGCCCCTCTAAACTGGTTTCCCTGGGTGAAATGCTCCCAGTTTCTGACTTTCCACAGGTTTGCTAGGCTCAGAGAGGCTCACACAGACCTAGCTGCAAACTCACATATCTATTTCTGTAGGTTCTACCACAAGGAAGTCCCAAGATGGCTCCTGAATCAGCTTTAAATGGAGGATTGATAAACTCTGGTGGAGAGGTGTTTTCTTTTTTAAAATATCTGATTAATGAGTCAAACAGTCTCTGGTTTGGCTAGGGCAGACTGCCCCTCCAGTCTCAGGACTTTTCACTCTGAGCCTTGGGGAGATGTAATATTTCTGCTGTTTGAGTTCTGGGTAGCTAAGAGAAATGCTGTCTCATGATAATATGCCACCTTGCCCCTCTGGTTTAAATGAATTTTTTTTTTAGAGAGAGAATTTTAATATTTATTTTTTAGTTTTTGGCAGACACAACATCTTTATTTGTATGTGGTGCCGAGGATCGAACCCAGGCCGCATGCATGCCAGGCCAGGCGAGCGTGCTACCACTTGAGCCACATCCCCAGCCCTTAAATGAATATTAACATCTAATTAAAGATTCAAGTAAAGGATGACTAATGTAATCTTATTTTACTCATTTACTTATTTTACTCAGTTCTTTGGAATTAGTTGACACTTCCTTTGTGGCTCAGTACTGTGGTAAGTCTTGTAAATGCTAAAAGTGTATACTTGAAAAGATACTAATTTTCCAGATGTTAACAAGCAAGTCTTTCCTAGGACTCTAACTGTTGAACAGTTTGTTTTATGAATGAGAGGAGAGTTGGAAAACTCTTTTATGGGAAAGAGGGAGAAAACTGCTTGTAGTGGATAGAAACATGAATAACCCTCAACGATATACTCACTTTTTAACCCCTAGAAACCTTGAATATCATCTAACATGACAAAAGAATAAGTATTGTATTATATGGAAAAAGATGTGATTAAGAATCTTAAGAGGAGCTTATCCTAGACTACCCAGATTTTAATGCAATCACTGCTATGTGCAATTATCTTTTACCCTAGTTTGTCATTTGTCTTTTAAATTCATAAACTGTACTTTTAGCCACTTAAAAATCCTTTCTTTGGTGGCTTCTGGATTTTGAGACTGAATTTTAAATGCTTTTGTACTCTAAGGAAACAAAGGACATTGTGTTTCTTTTAATATATATTTAAAAATATTTTTATTTGTAGATAGACACCTTTATTTTTATAGGTGCTGAGATTCAAACCCAGTGCCTCACCCATGCAAGGCAAGCTCTCCACCACTTGAGCTACAACCCCAGCCCTTCAATTATTTTTATGTTTTAATTTTTTTTGCATTTAAATTCTTTGATCCTTGTAGAGTTTATCCTGGTAAATAATGTGAACCATGGTTCCAACTTCATCTTAATCTAGATGGCTGGGTAATTTCCCCAATAATATTCATTAAATAATTTTTTCTTGCCTCCAGGCTTATGATGTATTAAATGCTCAAAGAATACAGTTCTATTTCTGGTCTTTCTACACTGAGGCAGTACCACAATATTTTAATTATTGCAGCCTTATAACATATTTTAATTGTTAGGGGGATATTTCTCCTTTATTGCTGTTGCTTTTCAATATTTTTTCTAGCTAGTTCTGTTTATTTTTCCATGTGAAGCTTAAGATCCACTTGCCTAAAAACAAATTTAAAGACCCTTTTCAGGTAGCATTTTCATTCATAAATTAACATTTAGAGTATTTAAATATTTATGATGTTAAGTTTTTTTCAGATGTTATAATACTAGAAATGTGTTGTACTATTCAGTCATTTATGTTTTTACTTCTGCCCTTCAGTCACATTATAAAGTTTATCTCAAACAGGTTTTATACATTTCTCATATTGGTGCAGTGGTCCATTGGTATCTGTTCCAGAACCCCTGAAGATACCAAATTCCATGAATCCTCAAGTGCCTTATAGAAAATGTCATAGTATTTGCATATAACCTTTATACATCCTTCCATACTTTAAATCATGTCTAATTACTTGTAACACTTAATACAATGTAAATGTTATATTAAGTAGTTGTTATACTATAATATTTAGAGGATAATGACATGAAAAAAACTATGTATTTTCTGTACAGATGTAATCTTCCTTTTCAGATATTTTAAAATCTGCTGTTCATTGAATTCCTGGACACAGAAGTCATGGATACAGAGGGCTGATTATATGTTCACATAAGTTTTCTATTTCTCATTAAGTTATTGCTCTTCTAAATGGGGTCTTTCATTTCCCTATATATTTTATTATGTAAATGTAAAGTACATTTTTAAAAAGAATGTATTCTATTGGGGAAAGATACTCAGCAATTTTTGCATATTTTACTTCCTCTTCTTTCATATTCTTAAATAACCTCTACCACGTTTTACTGTGACTTTCTGGCTGTTCCCTGTTTTAACTTAAAATTCTACAAAATATTTCCCCATAGGTATATAACTCCCTTTGACTTAACATTAAATTCAAATTTCAACTAACCACTTAAACTCTTCTTTCTTCTTTTTAGCCATTATTAAAACTCTCTTCAGAGACCTCAGGCCAAAATCATAATGATCCTATCAAACAGTAAAATATTTGAGTTATTAGAGGTTTTCAAGGAAAAAAATAGAACAATTTGAAAACAATTACATAGATTACTGATTATCTATACTGTAAAGGGAAGCAGCAATATGATTCCAAGAAACCTTAATTCTACTTCCAATGTTCTCATTTCTCTTGCAAACCGGTGCTCCTAAAAGTCCATTTCTTTTCTATTCCTCCCTCTCTCCATCCATCCCTCCTCCTTCTCCTCCCTTCTTTCTCCCTCCTACCTCTCTCTCTCCCTCTCTAGCTAACCCTTCCTCCTCCCTCCCTTCTTTCTTTCCTTTCCTATCCTATCCTCTGGGGTCTTACATTTTGCCCAGGCTGGTCTCGAGTTTCTGGGTTCAAGCAATGCCCCTATTTTAGCCTCTTGAGTACTTGGGTCTACAGGCATGTGCCACCATGCCCAGCAAAAGTCTCTTTCTTAAAAGAAAGAATAACAAGTGTGAAAACCTATTCACATCTGAATTAAGTTTTCTCTGAACTGGAAAGAGGAATTGGAAGAATATTAAAAAGAGAAATGTGATTATCTGCCTAAGCCATCTTAGATTAGAAACAAATACTCATATCCTAGAACAATAATTCTCAAAATGTGGTTCTCACAACAGCAATGTCAGTAACACTTGAGATGTTCTTGAAAATTCGTTTGTTTCATAGCAAACATAGAAAATTAGAAACTTGGGGTTTAGGCCTAGCACTTGTGTTTTAACAAGTCCTCCAATTATTTTGATGCATAATAAATTCTGAGAACACTGCTCTAGATATTAATTTTCTTGTATAGAGACAGCAGTCTATAATTTGAGATAATAGTTGTTCCATCATTCTTTCCAGATATTGGAGAGCAGGTTTGGAATCTTGACTGGTTTTGCATTTTGTATTTGATTTGATATGTTGATAGAAATTTGAGCTCTACTTATGTGGTATGGTCCCCAGGTCATTCCTTAGCCAATACCAGTAAAGTCTTATTTAAAGTTATTTGTATATAAAGAAAATAAGTTACTTACTTGTTGTGAGAGCTGTTTGCTAGCTAATTCATAAAGGCTAGCTAGCTTTCCAGAGATTGATTTTGCAGATTTGAAACCAAATGAAAACAGTATTATTTCAATAATCATTTGATAGTGGGGCACTATCATAGCCACTGGGCGAAACAGAGATTTTAAATTATCTGGGAGTTCTACTCGACCTCCAGAGCTTAAAAGGAAAAGAAAACAACAATAAGCCCACCATTTTTCAACAGTTCAAATAAGGGGCCACATAAAATATATACCCCCCATTTTATTGGCTTTCTATGTGTCCTCTATCTCAAGATTAGTTTATAAGATTTTTTTTGTTTTCTTTTTTTTTTTTTTTTGTACTTGGGATTGAACCCAGGGGCACTCAACCACCGAGCCACATCCCCAGCCCTTTTTTTGTATTTTATTTAGAGACAGGGTCTCACTGAGTTGCTTAGAGCCTCATTAAATTGTTGAGGCTGGGTTTTGAACTTTTCAATCCTCCTGCCTCAGTGTCCCACCCTCCCCCAGCTGCTGGGATTACAGGCATGCATCACTGCTAAGATGGTTTTTATTGTACTTTCCATCTCACAGAGCAGCCTGGCTTGTTATCTTTTCTTTCTGTGCCCCATTCCACAATTCATATCAGCTCCCTCTGATTTCCTGAACTAAGGTAGTATTCAGATATTTAATGAACCCGCCCAACTTGACTCCCTATAACCACCAGGGAGAGGTCAGAGGGCAGTAGAGAGTTATGATATATATATACAATGCCAGACAACTCCATCTGTGGGTAAGATTTAAGAAAAGGATTTTGGTCTATGTTCACTCCCACCACATTCACTGATACTTACACAGGATTCAGGGTGATAAAGACTGCACAAGACATATTGATACGAATTTCTTTTCCACCCAGTACAAATCTATAAGACATTATAGTATTCATAACTAAAACTGTTTTCTCTAGGATGAAATATGTTAAAACTACAAATGAATTTGGGAACTTTCTTATGGATATGTTACATTTAAATCCAAATAGAACATACTGAAATGAACAATAGTAAAAGAAAGAGGAGAAGTAAGAGGCTCATTTGAGCCAAACTGTGACCCTTTGCTGGGGATTCAGACATATTTGATCATGTCTGAAGAAGTCTGAGGAGCTTTGTGGGATCTAAGGCTGGAAGTTACTCATCTGAATGAATAGACTTACACAGGGAAAGGAACCCAATGAGACCCATAAAGAATGAAGAGCTGTGCCTGGATAACAGAGTGGGACTCAGCATAGAGTCCCTACTTCAGCATGGAACACAGCCCACCTCCCAAGTGTCCCCTCTCCCCATTTTAAAACTTTCGAGCCATTGTGAAATAAAACCCTTGGTATTTATGTCAATTTGGAACCAGTGGTAGAGACAATGAAGAGAAATCCTGTAGTGGTTTTTTTATAAAAATTTTATTTTTTGACAGTTGATACTAAAGAGAGTTGTCAAAACCTGCAAAAAAGAATAATTGGGACAAACCTGGGGAAACTTTGGACAAAAATGGGGGAAACTTGGCAGAGGCTGAGATAGAGAGAAGATGAGATGTGGGATGCTATGACACCTGCCCCATCCCCCCCATAAACTTGTGAAGCCTGATAACACCAGCTTTAACAGTTTGAAGAAAATCCATGAGAATAAAACCACAAGTTAGTATCCATTAGCATGAGTTAGAAATGAAATAGAAATTTTAAGCCCACAAATCCATTTTTGTCTGTAAAGTAAATGGTGATTTCCTAATAAATATCTAAAGAGAAAAATTTTGCTTATATTACTAATAATTGTTATTGCAGAGGTTTTCAATAAAAGCACCTTAATTCAGAGTAATGAGACAAGATGGGTGGGAGGCTTCAGGTATGTGACTAGTATGCCTTTCTAAAAAGGATGTAGAATTAAAGAAATAAATATTTATAACTTTTGTTTTGTTTCTTTAAATGACATATCCCAAGATAAAAAAGCAATAAGAGAACTTAAGATTGAAAAACAAAGTAACTAGGATATATTTCCATCAGAGTCCTGGTAGCTCCAGAGACTGTTTCAGAGCAAGAGTTTGGATACCTCTAAGTTGGCTTGCAAATTACAGTTATATATATTTTCACATTATTTGCAGAACAAAGGAAACATGCCAGGTACATGCCATTCCTTTTTATATGTGTTTTAAAGTAACTAATCAACTAACCAAATACCCAAACACTTATTGGACAAAAAGCAAATAAACAAACAAAAAACCCCTCCAAAAACCACTTAACGTTAAAGAAACAATACAAGTATATCAATTTCCATTCAAAATATATATCTTATTTTCCATCCAATAACACATACCTGACAGAATAGCTGTCTTTTGCAGCCTTAATTGTTTGTATCTGTGAGGCAATGACAGAGACAACTTCCATATCAATTCTATTGAATTCATCGAAACAACACCAAACACCTGACTGAACTAGTCCAAAAAAGAATTTTTCTACTATCTTTAAAAAGAAAAAGAAAAAGATTGATTACAGAAATTATTATGATGAAGAATTTTACTGGGGTATTAAGTTGCATACGTTCTTCCCATCTTGCTTAAACCAATCAAATACCTTTCATATTTCCTCCCCACAGGCATTTTTGTGGTTGCTTAGATTTCAGATAAGCAACTACTTTACCTGTTTGTAAAAAGCTAAGCCTGAAGTAGCAAATTCTGAGGCTCACAGGGACCTGGCAGACAGGACATAGATGATGACTTCAGACTTCTCCCATTTGGCTCAACGAGCTGCACCCTTGCATAAAGAATCTTTAGGACAACATTCAGTATATAGTCAAAACTGCCTGACAGTAGGTGTCTCCTTTTCTAGAGCAGGCACAGACTCCTTAAGAGTTAGTGAATTGGGGCTGGGGATGTGGCTCAAGCGGTAACGTGCTGGCCTGGCATGCACGGGTTGCTGGGTTCCATCCTCAGCACCACATAAAAGTAAAATAAACATGTTGTGTCCACTAAAAAATAAATATTAAAAAAATAATCTCTCTCTCTCTTTAAAAAAAAAAGAGTTAGTGAATTGTTTTATGTGTGCTGCTGGTAGATAACACAGATGAATAAACCAGGTCTAGTATGAAACAAGAGGTAGATTCTGCGTTAGATTGGAGCCAGCCTCATGAAAGCTCACAGTAGGTGTTACTGGGCTTTGCCTGTTGTCAGGGTGCAGGACAGGGTTGGCCAGATGCTATGCTACAGTGTCCTGTGAGAGGCTAAAAGTCCTGAAACAAAACAGCAAAGCAAACAAAAACACTTTCAAGCAAAACTGAACAAATTCATGGGCTGAATACAGGATGCAAGATGCCTAAGATTTGCCAGGTCTGTATAAAGGGAAGAAAAAGGGATTAAGAAAAGTCAAGAGAGAACCTCAGACCAGGAAGGAGATAAAAATTGGTTCCTCTCATGGGTAGCAGGAAATCCAATCTTGCCTTTATTCAAAATTTTGATATTTTTTTCATCATTGTTTTTTTTGGAGAGTGGGAGACAATAATTAGCATGAAAAACAAGCTGCAGAGCTGGGAATATAGCTCCATGGTAGAGTGTTTGTCTAGCATGCTCAAGGACTTGGGTTCAATCCCCAGCACGGAAAATAAAAATAACCCCATCTTCCCTCTATTAGCAGTGTTTGGAAACTGAGTTAAATTTGCAACAGACACAGAAGTATATTAAAATTTAATAACAAATACTTCAGGATCTTATTAGAGATGTCCTAGATAATTTGCAACTAAAACAAAGTAAGACAAACATAAACTTGCAATTATCATATATAGGTTCTAATTTTTTGTATTAATCATAATTACCTTATTGATCTTAATAATTAACTTTTGAATAAATAAATTAGCTTTCTTAATTGTTTTATATCTTCATGTTCCATATAAAATTTTGTTTAAAAAGAATCCCAATGTAAGGGAGTTGTGGCTCAGTGGCAGAGCGCTTGCCTTGCACACTGGGTTTAATCCTCAGTACCACATACAAATGAATAAACAAAATAAAGATATTGTGTCCTGGGCTGGGATTGTGGCTCAGTGGTAGAGGGCTCGCCTAGCACATGGAAGGCCCTGAGTTTGATCCTCAGCACTACATAAAAATAAATAAATGAAGATATTGTGTCCAACTAAAAAATAAATATTTAAAAAAAAGATATCGTGTCCCTGTATAACCAAAAAATATTCAAACAAATAGAATCCCACTGTCAAAAAAATTTAAAAACCACTGTTTTAAGGAATTCAATTGAACTTAAAGCAAAGTGTATACTATTTTGATTCTACTACATCTAGATTTGTATTCTAATAGTTTAAAAGAATTAATGATATTTATAATTCTATTAATATCTATATATCTATAAGATAAATATTTTTCTTGTTTTTTCATTTCTTAACAAATTGTTTTATGTGTAAAATTTTTTTTCCTGAGTGTATATGTTTAAGCTTTACCTTATAATCCAAATCTTCAGAACAACTGCAGACTACACAATATTTACCTAAGGCCTGGAAAACAAAAATATTATTTTAATATATTTCTTAAAATATGACGAAAAATACTAATATTAAAAATGATAGAGTAACCAAATGTCTTTATTAAATTTTTGAGAAGATATTTGCAATATTAAAAGATGAATTAGATTCCAAATTTAGCTATTCAAAAAACTCAAAATAGTACAAACGTATACATATTGCTACATATAGTTGATTAATTCATGTATAATTGTCATGTTTTTACATAAATATACAAATAAAATGCTAGTGTCACAAACTATACCCTTTTCCTTCATCATTTACTACCCCCACACACAGACATACACACACACACACACACACACAGAAATATTAATCGTTTATGTATCAGTCAGTTCCTATAGTAAGTCTCCAAGTTAATACAAAGTATATGTTAGCTTATTGAGATCCCAAGTCCTCACACACAATAGGCATTCAAAAATTAATGAATTGTATGAACTAACAGATGTGATTGTTGAACGCAGTGAACATGTGAGCAGTAGGAATGATGTAAATTTTAGATGCCATTAAAGTTAAGGCAACAATCAAAAATAGATGTTTTTATTCTGGATATAGAAACTACTTACTTTTGCCAGATCTTTGACAGTCTCAGTTTTTCCTACACTAGCTGGACCAGCAGTACAGCCTCCAAGATTCAAGTGTAGCGCTGCTGTGAGGGTTAGCCAGCATCGGTCTGTGAGGGGTGTAATAACCAACCTTGGGGTACAGCCCAAGTATTCATAGCCATAAGTAAAACTGGCATCTCCTTGACACACGTAACACAACTTTTGCTTTTCATTCCATTTATACTGCAAATGTCTAAAAGCAATATTGTTAATAATACTCATACATTTGGGTAAAATTATTTTTATTTTTTTCACATTCAGAAACATGATTAAAAATGGTTAAAAAATAGAAATCCAAATGTTAAATGAAAAGTGACATAAAATTTGACAATGACTATTAGATATGAAATATTAGGACTTGGAAGATGTGAGGATGGCCTTTGGCCTGAGCCTAAGCAACTCCATTTTAAAAACTCCAGTTTGAAACCTGCAGTCTCGCCAGGCACACCTAACAGAGCCCTCCAGTACGGCTCTCAGGCACAAACAAGTCACTTCCCCCAACCCTGATAAACTCAGAGTGAAGCCTCTGGCAGGCTGTCTTCCAATAAGAGGAAAGGCAAAAAGATCAGGGTAGGGACCACCAGACCAGTTTTTTAACCCCAGGGTAAATGATGTCACTGAGAAATCCAGTGGTAGCTTATAAGGATTGAAAGGGGTGTCAAAAGTCCCAAAATTTAGTATAATAATAGAGCAAATGAACAGACATTCAGCCAGCCAATACTGAGGCTCACAAGCTGGAGAGCCTGATGAGGACCTGGACTGACCTCCTTTTGCCTGATCCTCTGCTTGGTCCTCAACGCTCTCAAACTCCACAGCCACTTCTCCCTACGTCCCTCTCCTCAACTGGCCATCAGCTCCACCCCAGGAGAAGCCTGCCTTGGTTCCGGACCTGGTCACCATGGTCTGAGTGAGTGTGCATCTGCTGGACTTAAAGCCTAAGGCCTGAGACTTTTGATCTGACACTTGAATTTAGCACACAGATTGAATGTCTGTTATTAGCCTGTTATGATTAAGAGTGTTTGCAGTGCTTAGAACTAATTAATCTAGAATTGTTTGCTGTGAATTGATTATGTCTATTGCAGTGCCTAGCATTAAGGATTGTTGTTTTCTTGATTAAGAGCCTAAAGTGTTTCCAATCTCAAAAAAAAAAAAAAAGAACCAATAGAGTGAAATTGTATTGAGTGATTTGAGTGAATAAAGCATTGAAAAAGGCAGAAGCAGCGTGGACATTCTTTATTTCTCCCCTTTTACTGTGTAAGTCACATCTTTTGCCAATCACAACAGAAGACTATAAACTTAAGAGCACTCTTCCCTCTGAGGCAAATGACCTTGGTGAGTCTTGCTGTTTTGGTGTGATGTCAGCCTAAATGGAGGATTTATGTAAGAACCATCTCTATGCAGTTTACTATAGTTTCCAATAAGAATGCAATTGAAAGCATTGTTCATTAAATCTGGATCCTCATTAGAGTACTTGAGAGTACTCTATTATTATTTAAGTATAACATTAAATATTAATTAATATTAACATTATTAATTATTATATTAATTTTAATAACATCATTTAAGGATAAATAATTGAACTTTGGAGAAATTGATTTGTATTTATCCTATGAACACATGAGTTGTGTAGTTAATGATCAATTTTCTCCTCTCCAGGCTTTGAATTCAATCTGTGATCCACTTATAACTTTACAGTATGCATTTTTTACTCTATTTTATGTTTTCATCAGTACTGACTCATTATTTCTCAAAATAAACACATATGAAAGAATATTTTTGGAATAAATTTTAGTTTTGATATTTCTAAAAACATCAAAACAATGCCATGGGAAAAATCATCTCAAAACATTTTTAATAGCTGAGTGATGTTCTGGTTTTTGAATTATAAAGTGGAGGCAGGCACAATACAGAATGACTAAATGTCTTCACTGGTACTGTTTTTGACCTTTTTTTTTCTTCTTTCACTGCACTATGCTATCATGCAGTCATTTTATATCCTTATAAGCTCTTTCATAAAACCTTTCTGATAAAACAGGGTAGATTATAAAGAAATCTTTCAAAAGCAAGTACATTTTTAAAATGAAATTTCAAATAAAAGAAAAATTTTAAATGGTCTCACTACAACCACCTTCAAAAGTCTTAACTTGAGCGAACATACAACCATAAGCAAAACCAGAAAACTTCTAGAAAGTAACCTCATTTAAAAGTTTGAGACTTCACATTTAGTATAATAATCTTATGCTCAAAGATAGTGGCTCTCTTTTTCTATACTTTCATATTTCATATTTTGACTCTAGGTGGGAGAAAAGGAGGTTCTGAGTTGGGGAGGTAGCTTGAAATGTTGTCCAATTTGTTTATCCAATCTAGTCTGTTCCAGAATTGACAGCACAGGGAAAAGAGGAGGCACTACCTATTAAAAAACTGCTCCTTGGCTCAGAGGCAAAAGAGAAAATGCAACTACAAAAGAGGATAATAAAGACTGAAAGATAAGGCAGAAAGAAGTAAAAACCAGGGGAAGGGACGGTAGAAAAGAGAGATAAGAAAGTACAGGAATAGGGTAGCAAATCCCTGAAAATTAAAACTTGAGTTTGACAAAATTTAGAGAATGGATTTACCTAAAGATATATATGTGAGACATTATGTGTATAGTTATAGTTTATATCTACTTACCTCGTCCACTCAAAATCTTCTGCATTGAAGACATTTGTAAGTAGTAGATCCATCACAATATCTCTGCAGTGGACATAAAGAGTAAGAAATGCTCCTAGTGCAGTTTTTGTTCGAGAGGTGTTAGTATGTAACACTACTAGTTCTGCAGCCTCTTCTAGATGACACATCACATTAGAATGGACTTGTTCCAGCTTTTTTTTTGAGTGAGAACTCATAAAACTTTTGATACAATCATTATAGAACATGATTTGACTCTGAAAAAAACATACATACATTAATCAAAACATACATTTTATGTTAAAACGTGAAGGATAAGTTTTCATGAAGTATATGTGGTATGTGTATGCATGAATGCATTTGTGTATAAAAGCAAAAGCTTAAACATTTATATGTATTTGAAAGAGAAAGATTAAATTTTTATTGATACTTATGGGGACCTTATTTACTTATACTTTCTAAATTTTATATTCTTGACCCATTGTAATTAACCTGAGGACATTAACAATGGTAGAAATCTCCAAGATAAAATTAGTGTTGTTTTCTCCATTAAACTAAAAAATAATATTTGTAGAATACATTGCCTATAATTGTAGTTGTCAGGAATATGTATAATTTTTGTTATTTGATGAATCTTTTTGCATTTACTCTTCCCATACACATAAGAGCTGTTTTAAGAATGCAACTAGATTAAGTGAAGATTGACTCTGGAAATAAAGGAGGGCAAGATATCAGGAGAGCTTAATAGGGTTGTGGCCTGTACAACTCGGTAAACTGTGATTCCAGTCACTCACTAAGTGCCTTCTGGAGAAAGAACATGTGGATGAGGGGCACATAATGAATTCATTTGTGGATATACTGGATTGGAAGTGCCCAAGAAACACATAAATAAAGCTATCAAGTGATAAAGTTATAAATAAGAGAAAAGTTAGCGTAGAGGCCACATATCATTGTGAGATTTTTCCAAAGCCAGATAGGAAGATACAGGATAGGAAATGTGGTACATCAGTCAGCATTCTGGGTTGCATGCAACAGAAACTAAGTGACTTTCTAAGAGGATGTAATGGATTCATAATCATCAGATCAACAGAAAGCTAGAGACTGAGGCTTGGGAAGTGGGCAGGAGCAAGAATTTAGGACAGACTGTGGGAACTATAGTCAAGGTCATGTCACAGCAGAGTCTGGTCAAATGCCACTGTACTGTTGTCAGTTATTCAGAATGCACAGCCTCAGGTGAGAACATCCATGGTGAGGGAGATTGTGAACCAGATTTTAGATTTGTATTTATCTGTTTATTTATAGAGGAATGAATTATAACTCTATCTTGGATAAATCCATATTGAAATTCTCTCAGTGGTCAATGCATATAGACATCTCATTATACCCACTCTCTTACAATGTCTTTTTACATTCATTGAAAGACAACTCCTAGTCATGTAACACATGCAAAAGACAAGAGGAAAGGGAGTTGTGAATTGCATTCATGGGATAGGAAATTAGCAGCTGCTAAGGCAGATGTGGGAAAATTTTTGGCAAAAGTACATGCAATGATTGAAGCTGACATCTACCATAAAGGACATCTGGAAATAGAATACAGATGGCTTCTTATTGTTAAGCATATTTGAAGCATAGGGATCTGAGAAAAATCTTTTTTGGTAGAGCAGATCTAATGATTTGAATTTCTGTTAAACTGCAGAAATGTGCAGATCAATTCATTGTAATTTTGCCACCTTTGTCATGAACAGTTTAAACAAGTCATTCAGTTTGAGATATAAGAGTTAACATTCAGTCAAACGGATAGCAAAAGGAACAGGAAGATTTGATAATCATAATTTTTGTGTACAATGCCAGATTATCGTAACAAAGAAAATTATGGTGGGTCAAGGCAAAATAAAAAGATATGATTTATTTATTTGTTTTAATTTAAAAATTTGTTTTAATTAGTTATACATGACAATAGAAGGCATTTATATACTTCGATATATCATACATAGATGGGATATAATTTCTCATTTTTTAATTGATTTTTTTAAAAAAATAAATGACAGCGGAATGCATTACAATTCTTATTACACATATGCAACACAATTTTTCATATCTCTGGTTGTATATAAAACATGTTGACACCAATTCGTGTCTTCATACATGTACTTTGGATAATGATGTTCATCACATTCCACCATCCTTGCTAACCCGGAGCTGGAGTTGTAGCTCAGTGGTAGAGCACTTGCCTAGCACATGTGAGGCACTGGGTTTAATCCTCAGCACAACATAAAAATAAATAAAATTAAAAAAAATAATTTCTCATTTTTCTGAGTATATATGTTGTAGAATCATATTGATCATGCAGTCACATATATACATAAAGTAATAATGTCTGTTTCATTCTAAGATATGATTTGTTTTCAAGCTAAATAGTCAAGTATGTTTCAAAAATACTTGATAATGGTAACTTGGGGCAATATGGCTTCAGAAGAAACACTCTCTCCAAGGTTCATATTGACCCTGATAATTGACAGATTTAATAGAGTTTTCAGACATCTCCAGAGCCTTTAAAAATTATGACTAGACACATTTTTTTCTAGAGAAAATTAGAGAATCAAGCAAAAATGTGTCTTTCTTCTGTCTCAGCTTCCTTGACAACTCTAAATTTTACTTTTTTTTTTTCCCATTAGGTCACTTTTTTTCATAGACTCCCTGTCGTTTGCCTACTCCTTAAATGTTGATGTCCCTGTGTCTTTCTTTATCGCTCTTATTGTAGACATTCTGCTGGGAAAAATTTTACCACTCTCCAAGTTTCAACCACTACCTCTACCTCTGAAGAAAACTGCCAATTTTAACTTTGTCGATATCACACTTTCCTAATTTTCCTTCTATTTCTTTTTTGAGTTCCAGAAAAACAATAATTAACATTAACAAATATGCAGAGTAGGCAAAATAGTGGATTCCTAAAAGATATCCATGCCTAATCCCCAGAACCTGTGAACATATTACTTTACATGGCAAAAGGAACTTTGAAGATACAATTTAATTAAAAATCTTAAGATGGAGGGATTATTCTGGATTATCCAAGTGGGTCCAAAATAATGACATTTTTTTTTCCATCTGTGAGCAGAGGGCAATATGACTATGAAAGAATAGCCAGAAAGATGTAACACTGCTGGTTTTAAAGACAGAGAAAGAAACCATGAGCCAAGGAATGCTAGAGACCTCTAGAAGCCAGAAAAGGAAAAGAAATAAATTTTCCTCAAGAATCTCTCACAAGGAACATAGCCCTGCTGTCGCCTTAATCTTAGTCACCAAATTTTAGTAACTTCTTAATGAGAGCAATCAAAAAGTAATATAATGCAAAAACTAATTCATGATTTAGTTTCAATGTTATACTTGGAAAATTTTTAAACAATAGAAAAATTGAAGAATTAAACAGTGATACTTATATACCCACCACCTATATTCTATATTCTGTATAACTTTTTGTTACATTTACTTTATCACTTATTTATGCATCTGTCCATCTCATATTTAATGCATTTCAAAGTAAGAAACAAATATCAGTAGACTTTTTTTTTCCTTTTTGCAATACTGGGGATTGAACCCAGGAACATTCTATCACTGTTTTTATATCCCTCCCATTTTTTTTAATAGAATCTCATATGTTGCCTATGCTGTCATCAAACTTGCAATCCTTCTGACTTCATTTCCCACATTACTGTGATTATAGGTGAATGCCACTGTGCCCAGCTCAGTAACCTTCTTAATGATTTAGTTTCCAAATATTAATTATTTGGCAATGTAGCATGATCTATATTATATTATATTATATACATATATCAAAGTAATGTTAACTTACCACAATGAGTACCACTTGTCCTGGATGAGATACCACCCACAGGGAAAAATTTTGGTGGGTCCAGTCTTCAACTCCTTGATTCACAAATCTATTAAAAATGTATTTATATTACCTACATTTAATCATTGATCATGGCCATTAAATAATTGAGTGTGGCAAGGCCACAGGAGAATTTTTCTTTAAGATCTCTGATTGTTTTGTTCTAATTTAGGCATTTGTATGGTACCAAATAGAATTAACAGAGCTTTAATCCATGCTTAATGAATATTCCTTAACTTCCTCTTTAACATTAGCTATACTTTTCTAATGAGGTTATTGAATTTCTGGGAATGGTAAAAATATATTAAATCAGAAGAAGATATACTAGCTTTGGATTGCAAATACTATCAATGGCAAATATGTATTTAAATGTTTTGTATTTAAAATAATTTCTACAAAATTGAATATTGGGCTGAAACCCTCAGATGAATTTTAACAGTAAAGTCCTGCACTAACTTTAAAATTAATTATAAGGGAGAGGATATAAGTTATAAAAAAATCCAGACAGTTTTATTTAAGATCCAACTTAATATATGCCAACAGCATGTGTTTTGATAGAAACTAGTTGAAAGAATCCTACACACCAGACTACTGAGAAAATATACACATTATAACGGGTAGGAAAAGAGGAGACACATGAACACAAACCCAACTCTGAGCCTAGAATCTTAACAATAAGGAAGGAATCTTGAACTTCCACCTTCTTCCTGAGGAGTGAAGGGTTTGTATCATACTTTTATGATCCTTGCTGGAGAGTTTGGCTCTTAAATCACTTTGTATCTTAGTCTGTCATTATTGTGACCAAAACACCTGACAAGAACAACTTAGAGGAAGAAAAGTTCATAGTGGGCTCATGATTTCAGAGGTTCAATTCATGATTAACTAACTCCTTTGCTGTGGGGCTTCCATGAGGCAGAACCTAATGGAGGAGGAAAGCTTCTTAGCTCATGGCAGCTAGGAGAGAGAGAGAGAAAGAGAGAGAGAGAGAGAGAGAGAGAGAGAGAGAGACACCAAGGAAGCCAAGTGACAAGATATAGTCCAAGGTCATGCCCCCAGTGACCTACTTCCTACTACCCCACCTATCTACAGTTACCTTTTAGTAATCCATTAATTTATTAATCCATTGATGGTTTAATCCACTGATGAGGTTTCAATTCTCAGAATCCAATCTTTTCACCTCTGGACATTGCTACATTGCCTAACACCTGTGCTCTTTAGGGGACATTTTAAAATTCAAATCATAACACCTTACTTAGGAAGCAGCAGAGTCTTGGCACTGAAAATTTTTCTTGAAGCATACATAATAGAGGTGTTTTTAAGTAAAAAGAGATATAATAAGACTGTTCTAATCAAATTAGTTTTAAAATTTCACACTCTGAGGTACCTTTTTCATTCTAAGAAGTGATAGATTAAAATATAAAAAGACAACATTAAAAGGACTAAACCAAGTACAGAGTCCAAGGAAGTAAAATGAAACAGAAGTGCAAAGTAGCAATATGGACTGAAATTGGAGGTTGCCTGACATTGAATCTTTTGAAAAGAGGCAGAGGTGGAGATGAGTTCAGATCCTGGCCAGTTTTCAGATACACACAAAACTCAGCACACATAAAACTGTTCAAATGTCATCACGATTACACTCTCAAATTTATATTTACATTGTAAAATTATTATTTTTCATTTAGTCACGTGCCATCATCCTCTATCAAAACTCACTTTATAAGGGGCTTTACTTTATAAATTCTCTGGTTATTTCCTACCTACATTAGTAGCTAACCAAGTTTAATACAGACATAGACATACATATATATATATAGAGAGAGATATATACCTATATATTATAAAGTTTTAAGATTTAAAAATTGTACTTGCTTTTTTAGCACATCAAACATGGCTTTTTCTACATTTACCAGCCACTGTTCTACAGCACTTCTTATACGAATTTTCCTATGATTTAAAAAAATTATGAAAATCATTTTAAAAAAAGAAGAAAATCATTAAATATTATAATATTATGAATATTATTTTGATTCATGTTTAAGCCTGTAGACTTAATTTTATATGAACATTTATAATAATCATGGGCTAAGAGGCTATAATTCTATATCTTCTGGCTTTTCTAGATTTTTACTTAGAAAATTAAGCAGAAAACATATTACCTAGCTTTAGGAAATTCTGATATCAAAACCATGAATAAACACAGTAGTTATATTCTGAGTAAAATATGAATGTATGAGATTGATAAATTGTATTAAAAAACATCTTTGTATGCCTCACTGAATCTTTTTAAGAGCATTATGTGCTACTGATTGAGCTAGCCAGACACTTTGTTGGATCTTTTTTAAATAGTAGGATACGGTTAGGGGCTTTTGTGGATAAAAAGGCCTGGCACAGAATTTTGTAAATGACCTTTATATGGGAGGCCACAAGCCAGCAGTTAGAGAGCCCTCACTGGGGCTGTCAAGTTAGACCAGTATCAAGGAAGGGCCTAGCTCATTGCCTGGGAGCTCACCACCATGAAACCAGAGATGTGTGAAAACAACAATGACCCCAAATAGTAAACCTTCCCATCCAGAAAAAGGCAAGTGCTAAAGAGAGTTGAGAACTTAAGGTAGAATTCAATGATGGAGCAAAAGGCAGGTGAAAATTAGAAAGCTCTCAAGAGTTTGAAGATTACTTTTTTTTTTTTTTTTACTTTTAATTAAAGCTAAAGTGAGAAGAACATGTACTATAGAAAGTATTGAAAGGTAAAAGTGTATTGATGGAAAAATATTATCTTTGAAGATAGTTTGCTTGGCAAACTTCTATGAAATATCAGAGAATTCAAAGAGATTTTGAAATTACGAGGTGTTATGGGACCTAAATGTTTAGTTTTAGGATATTTATCATACTTTGGCAGCACAAGACCTTCTCCTTCAGCAGATATGAGCATTTTTACAGCAGGAAGGCCAATTTCTTGTTTCCATATCAACACTCGTTTTATGTTTTCAAAACATTTCTTAAGATGGGGCTGTGAACCAGAAACAAATGTCAGTAACATTATAAAATCCTGATCTGGTCAAGAAATAATATTGCTGAACAGAGAATAGTGTTGTTACCTGTACAGACTCAGGATTTTCACTGCCACCTAGAATATCAAGAAGTGTAGCATTGCTAAGAAAGTAAAATCTTGGGAAAATCGTTCTTTTGATTTCAAGGTAATCCTGTCCGGAATGAAAAGAAATGTAACTCAGAATATATGTCCAATCATGATATGAATCCCATCCACACTTGGACTACATTTACACACTGTCACCATGACATTAAAAGTATAGTATAATAGATGTGGTAGTATCGGTCAGAATGATATAACATGCTCAATTAAAGATATACTCGAGTTGCTAACAGACTTTTAACAGAGCAAAACAAATAAATAGAAATTCCAACTAAAACAGAAACAAATGAAAACCCCACATACACCATTTCATTATGGATCATTGATAAAGCCCTGGATTTTGGTGTTATTAGCAATGCTTTTGCATGCTCCCACTTTCTGCTCCTTTCCCTACATTTGAAATTATCACCTTGGAAAATTAGTCATCATTTCACAAATGACCTCTCATTCTACAGTACAGAGAATTCCTACACTTCCCACCACCTCTCTCACAACTTCACGCTAGCCTTAAGTCTTGCCTTCATTTCAGAGAAAAAGGCATTCAGTTGCGCCAGGTTAAAATACCTTGTTTTCTTTATTACCCCACTGTCTTCCATCTCTCCCTTGCAATAGGCCTCCACCTTAAATTTCTCTCACGAAAAAGTACAGGAAGCCCTCCCTTTCCCTTTGCTTTCTTCTAGCTACTGTTACTTGCCCATTTCTTCTTTATACCAAAGTTCTTGAAAAGACAATTTATTAACTCAAAAGCTATATTCTCTGTCAATTCACACTCTGCCTGCCATCTGGCCACTACTATTACCAAATTGACAGGGAGTGACATTTTCAAGGGTTTGTTGCCTCTACTGTTTTTGTTTTTATTTTTAATTTGCCCTTTGACCTCTATAATTTTACTTGCTTTTCTTCTGTCTCTTGGCCACTTCTTAATCATTTTCCTTCAAGGGACCCTTTCACCTCTATACCATAATTTTGACGTCTCTTGAGTTCCATCTTCATCACTCTTCACTCATTTTATTCTTCTTGAGCTATTTGATACATATCCCTTTGCTTTTCAGCTCAGATCATTACTCTCTACCCTAGATTAATATACAGTTATATCCCCTTATCTGTAGGTGATACATTCCCTGAACCAATCACTTAGTTGAGGTGGCAACTAAGTGATTAGTGGGCAGGGACTACACAAACTACGGGCATATTGGACAAAGGGATGATTCAAAACCCAGGAGGGATGAAGCAGGATGGTGTGGGATTTCATCACATTGCTCAGAATGGTTCATGATTTAAAGTTGTGAATTGTTTATTTCTGGAATTTTCCATTTGTAGTTTTAGACTCTATGAATAATTAAAACCATGGAAAGTGAAACTGCAGATAAGGAGGAGCTATTGTACTCCATCGCCCATTGAAGGTGTTCACCTGAATGTCCCACAACTATTAGATTTAGAGTGTAAACAAAACTTACTTGCTTCCACACAAGCCTCTTCCTCTTCTGCTCCTATCTCTCTAATATGATTATCTTCCACCCTGTTGGCCAAGTTGTAAATCTAGACATGATCTGGGGCATCTTTATTTTATCCTCCATTTACCCATCCAATGCTTTTGGCTCCACTTTCTTTTGTTCTCACCACAGCATTATGTTAGCTGCCCAACATTTCTAGACTTTTTACTTGGATTTTAAATAACCATTTCCACTGCCTGCTATGGTTTGGCTAAGGTTGGAGTGTGTTCCCCAAGGCCCCATTTGCTGAAATTTAATCCCCATTGTGAGGAGTTAAGAAGAGGATGGAAACTTATTCTGAATGTGCTGTTTAGGGAGGTGATTAGGTTTAGATGAGGTTATCAGGATGGAGCCCCCATGATTGAAAGACCATAAGAAATGCACAGGCACACATGTATACTCCTTGTCTCTTAGCATATGATGCCCTATGCTGCCTTGGGATTCTGCCAGCAAGAAGGCCATCACCAGAGGTGGCCCCTGATCTCAGATTGGAACCATGAGCCAAAATAAATTCCTTTTCTTTATAAGTGCACAACCTCTGGTATTTCATCTCAGTGATGAAAAATAGATGAATACATTGTCCCCACCAGCATATCAATGTTTTGTCACCTCTGAAACTCATTTTGAAATTGGATTTCCAATGTGATGGTGGCAAGAGGTGATGGGACCCTTAAGAAGTCATGAGGTCTCCACTCATGGAAGGGGTCAGTGTTGCTTTCTGGAGACTGGGTTAATTCTCCTGGGAGTGAGTGAATTCCTGCTCTCCTTGGGACTAGATTAGTTACCACCCGGGGTTCCCTTTGTGTTTTAGCTCTTATGTTCCTGTTCACTTGCCCTTCCACTTTTCTGCCAGGAGGTGAAGAAGCAGGAGGCCCTTGCCAGATGTTAATGCCATGCTTTTGAATCCCAGCTTCCAGCTTCCAGAGCCAAGAGGCAAAATAGATTTCCATTTAAATTTAAATGGTTCCACTTTAAGTTACCCAGTCTTGTGTGTTCTCTTACAATAAAACAAACTAAGACAATGTCCAATCCATACTCTATGCTTTTTCGCAGAAAGATATTTCTGAATTAAATTATCTCATTCTTCTATTTAAAATTCCTCAGTGGCTGCTCATCAAAGTAAAAACTCATTACAATCAATGTTCAAAGCCCTTTACTGGCCGTCCCCTGACTCCCTGGAGAATGCAATCTTTCCCTACCAGTTTCCCATTTGTTACATTTTATCTGTAACATATTTTTCATCAGAAGGTACCATAGACGGTTTCGTGCCTTTGTACTTTTTCCATTTGCCTAAGAGACTCTTCCCATCGACCCATTTGAATTCTGACTCTTACTTAGCTAATACTTCGTTTTTAAAACTTTATTTTTAAAAATATTTAATCTTTATTTGTAGTTGGACACAATACCTTTATTTTATTTATTTATTTTTATGTGGTGCTGAGGATCAAACCCAGGGTCTCACACGTGCTAGGCGACACTACCTACCACTGAGACACTACCTCTGTCTCCAATACTTACACTTCTTTTAAGATCTAGGTCAGTTATAGCTTCCCCCATGCGGAGTTAATTTCTCCTATTTAAATATAGTCATACTACCAAACTTAACTTAGCATTGCAATAGTTCTTTACATTTTTTTTTCCTTTTTGTAATATGTTTTGAGTTCTGTGACAGTAGGGAATATGTCTTTTATCTTTGTAGTCCAAGCACATAGCAGTAGTGCCTGGTATAAAGCAGGCATTCAATCCATGAAGAAATTAAAGATAAGTGATTTGTAATGACATTCAGATATAATCCAAAGATGTGCCAGAAATAATTGAAATTCTTATCTCAAAGATTGTCTGGTAAACTTTATCACTCTGGGCACAGCTTTTTTGCCTGCCCCAGAGCATGAATTTGTACAGAAGAGATCCTCTAGAACTTTCTAGAGGCTGTGACTACCTAGGGTAGTCTGCAGGAGTCGTCACTACCACTGTGACTTGTGTTCAACAAACAAAAACAAACAACGCTGGAACAAAAACTTGGTTTATGAAATGAAGTGAACACATGCATCTTGAAACTCAAATACGAAGACCCAATATTTAAGGATATGAATCCAGCTGATGATTTAATGTTCTGGCAATTTAAGAATATGTGGAATCAGGGCTGGGGTTGTGGCTCAGTGGTAGAGTGCTCGTCTAGAATGCACAAGGCACTGGGTTAGATCCTCAGCACCACATAAATATAAGGATACTGTGTCCACCTAAAATTTAAAAAAATAAATATATTTTTAAAAAAGAATATGTGGAATCAGTAATTTATAAGCTCATCAAAGTATTCTATTTCAACTTTTGCTGAACTTATCAACTTAATAATAATAATAGTAATGTTAATAAAATAATTAACCTTCTTTAAGTACTTTGTGTTAGCTCTTGGTGCTGTAGATGTATTATCTCATTTATCACAGGGGGCACTGTCATTCTCAATTTAAACAGTGGGAAACCTGGGCATTCAAAAGTTTGGTAATTTGCCTGAGTATCCTTTAGATTAGCCCATCCATTTTTTTTTCTTTTGATAGTATTTTCATTAACACTATAGATTATGAGAATTGAAAAAATTGTTGGTAGCTAAAGTTAAGGAGAAAGTCTTCACTGGAATTTGTTTTTGCAGTGTATTACATTAGTTTTGTAGATTTAAATGAGGTCTCATTTTAGGATTGCTATAGTTTTACCTCTAGACTTTTCTTTATATGCTCAAGATGTCTATTGCAATTTTGCAGAACTTCAAGAATTCCTGCCGAGATGGTTATTTGCAAAGCTTCCAGTTTGCCATGTATTTTTGACATTATTTCTTTCCATAGGGAGAGCACCTCAGAGAAAAGTTTTGTTTCTGCTGGAAGCTGCCTTTAGAAATAGAATTAGACGTAACTATTTTTGAAGCTGCTATAATTAAAATCTAAAAATCATTTGCCATAGAATATTGTAAATTTATGAAACAAGCTTGGTATGTTTTCTTTTACTTGATCAATCATTAATTAAAGATATCTTATTATCTATTATATACAAGTGATATATATGGTAAGAAAACAAGATAAATTAGACTACAAGTGTCGATAACAAGATTATATTTAATGTGTAGTGGGAAGTAGATATAACAAGTTCTACATAAAGTAAGTAGAAGCAGTTTGTGTTCTAAGAAATGTAATAAAAATAAAGAGTCCAATAGTTTTGATTTTGAATTTCCCCTTGGCCCCCATTATGGCACTATTGAAAGGTGGTAGAATCTCTAGGAGGTGGAGACTAGTGGGAGAAAGTTATGTAATGGGGGAGTGCCCTAAAAAGGGATATTTATGCCTCAGTTTCCTCCCCTCTCTCTCTTTGCTTTCTGATTGCAGCTTTGCTCTACCATTTGCTTCTCACCACAATGTATTTCCTAACCATAGCAACAAGACCAAGTAACCATAGACTAAAACCTTTGAAACCATGAGCCAAAGTAAACCTTTCCTCTTTATAAATTGATTGTCTCAGGCATTTTGTCACAGTGGTAGAAAGTTAACACAAATAACTAGTGGACATTTTAGAGAAGCAATGGGATTTTTTGAGATCTGAGTTTTAAAGGAATATAGCTTTGATGTGAGGAGAAGGCAGAGAGGACATTTTTCTAAGAGCAAGAGCATAGAGGTGTACATAATACAATTGGAAGTTTTGTTAATGATTATCTAATCTTAGAGAATAAGGAAATGTAATACAGGTGTCAGCCTTGGTGTAGAAATTTTACTTTACGGATTATTATCATGGTTTTTACACATTGGAAAAGAAAGGCAACACTTATATGTGGCATGACAATCCATTAATATATTAATTTGAGTTTTATTTCTGTTGTTGTTGAGGTTAACTGAGGGAAGTACCTTCAAAAGTTAAGTTTGCTTCTCACCTTCTCTGATCACTTATATTTTCCACTCCCATCCCTGTAGCCCCAACCTGATTCAAGCTCTTCATGGCTTGGAAGTTGAAGTGAGGAATAAAGGTCTTTTTAATTTTTATGAGTTAGTGTGACTTTGAGTTCTTTTTTGCTTCTTGAATGCTTTCTGGCATTGCAAGTATTTATGGAGAATATCACTGGGGTTTTGGAGACACCTCAACAGGAACCTCTACCTTGCCCTTAATTTTCTTTCTTTTCCCTGCTGACCTCTTACAATCACTCTTCAAGCTCCTGTTCTAAGTGGTATAATTCTGGTAATCTCTTGTTCTGACCAGCAGCTCTTTAGGGTCAATATCTTTCAAGATGGCTTTAGCTTGGAACTTTCTACTGTGTCTGCAAAATCTGTCAGAATTTTTCAACTTCCTCAGGACTGTTGACATTCTGTACCAGATAATTTGGTGGTGATAGTGGTGGGGTCCTGTGTATTGTAGGATGTTTTATAGAATCCCTGAACTCAACCCACTGGATGTCAATAACACCTCAATTTTGATAAGTAAAAATGTTTCCAGGGTTTGCAAAATATCCACTAGAGGGAAAAATCATTTTTGTTGAGAACCACTGGCATAAGATAATCATGAATTCTTGCACTTCTTCCTTATTTTGCTAGCGAAGGCTACTTCAGAATTCTCTGGAGAAGAGGCAAGCCCTTGTTTCTAATGCTTGACTAGGCAATAAATGTCAAATTCTCCAGAGAACCCTTCCACTATTCTCCTATTCCCCATCTAGGGTGATAGGCCCTAAATGTTTCTGCAGTTCAGTAAAACTTCTCTCATGGAGATTTCGATCTCCCCTTCTACTAGTCTGGAATCTTTCCCAATCTCTCTGGAAGGAATGAATGCAGTCCTTACAGCTAACTTGGAGTAGGGGGATAAATTCTCCATACAGAATTTTCCCCTCTGATGAATCTATCACTCACCTCTTCTTTATTCAGATCTTCCTCACTGATTTCAAGGCCCATTATTCTTCCCTAGCTAAAGGGAAGTCCATAACTGATGGGTTTTTTCCTTATCTTTAGATTTATTGTTTAGGTACTTTCAGCATCTGCTCATTAAAAGCCTCCTTTTCAACCTAAGCACACTTAGTAAAAAGACAACTTGGTCACATTTTGAACTTCCTCACCAAGGAGCATGATCTCTCCATTAATGAGGAAATCTTTGGTAAAATGTAATATCAAAGTTCACTTTATTTATTTATTGATTGATTGATTGCAGTGCTAAGGATCAAACCCAGGACCTTGTGCCTGCCTTCTGCTCTCCCACTGAGCTGCATCACTAGCTGTAAAGTTTGAATTTAAGGCTCAAAGTCATAGCAACATAAAGAATTTTCTCTTTAGATATAATGTGGTTTCACCTTTGAAGACTTTCAGAATGACTGTAGGTTAATATAATAGAAGATTGTACGATTATTTTGTCAGTAGTTTAAATTCTGTCTAGATAACTCATTTGTCTGTACCAATCATTAAAAAAGTTAGAAGCCAACTAATTTGAATGCTGTGATTGAAATTTGTCAAGGCCATTTCTTCTTCCAATTGGTTCAAAGCAAGAAATTCTCATTCATGTATAAATGCAACTGCATGTTCATCATTCACACCAAAGTCACATTAATATTCTAGAACCGAAAAAATAAATAATATTGTGGCTTAAGGATTGTAATGATATATCTAACATTTCTTTTCCAGTTGTTTATATCTTTATGTCAATAATTGAGAACAAATGCTTTCTGATATAAAGATGATGCTTGTACTGTTTTATGAAGAAAAAAACTAATTAATGGTTCTGCAGACTATACTATTTTGTTCAGTGAAGAAATGATTTATCAAGAATTGCATAAAAACACATTCCCAACCATGCTACATTTGGTATATTTTGATTTTTTACCTTTGTATTTCTAAAGAATGGAAGATTGGTTCAAGATAAAGCCATTGTTTTTGACAGTTCATCCATACCTCAAGGGTATGAGAAAAGAGTTTAAGGTATTGATCCCATTCATTCACAAGATCCTACAATGATAAAAGAAAACATATACACTTGCAAATCTAAATATATAAAATTACTCTAAGAGTCATATACCAGAAACTGAAATCAAAGCTCATTACCAATCACTGACATAGAGAAAATTATTAATAGAGGGTCACATAAATAAATATAAACTCATTAAAAATTTAAAGAATGTTTTGAAATTAATATTTTTCAATCCATAGAGTAGTGTAAGGAGAGCTCTAGTTCCTCTACATCCACACCAAATACTAGGATGATCAATCTTATTAATTTTAGTTATTTCTTCACACATGTAGAAGTATCTCATTTTTACTTTATCGTATTTCTAATAAGTAATGAAGTTAAGCATCTTTCTGTGTTTTTTTTTTCCCTCCATATATGTATTTCAATCTCTGGCACATTTCCTTATTGGGCTGTTTTGTTTTCTTATTATTGCATTTTGAGAATTCTTTATATAATCTCTATATAAATCCTTTAACAGATACACACTAATATTTTCTGCTAGTTTGTGGCTTGTATTTTTGTTCCTTGAACAATGTCTTTTGAAGAGTAAATTTTTAAAAATTTTAATAAAATACAGTTTTAAATTTTCCTTCTGTGGGTTAGTGCTTTTGGTGTTATATTAAAGAAATCTACCTAAAACAAGACAACAAAATTGTTTCTCCTATGTTTTCTTCTCAAAATTTTTTTAGTTTTAGGTTTTACATTTGGTCCATGATCTTTGAGTTAAATTTTGTGTAGGCTGTAAGATATGACTTGTTTTTTATTTTTTGCATGATTATACAGTTGTGCCAGCACTATTTCTTCAAAAGAAAATTGTTTTTTACTAACAATTATTTTTGTACCTTTGTTGAAAATCAGTTGTCCATATTTATGTGGGTCTATTTCTGTACACTCTATTCTGTTCTATTTATTTGTGTATCTATCTTATATAAATATAACCCTCTCTTGATTATTGTGGTTTTATAATACATCTTGAAAACTATGTAGTATTAATCATCTAGCTTCTTTTTAAAGTCTTGCAAACTTGCTAAAATAAGTTTGGTTTACTTTTAAAAATATTTCATTAAATTTTCTTACATATGCTCTCCCTTCTTGAGTGAGCCTGGAGCCTCAGCGCGCTGAATTGGATCCTCAATAAATCCCCTTCTGCAATTGCATGAGTCAGTCTCTTGGTGGTCTCTTCCTCCAACTTTTCGCCGGACCCTTACATGTGGTGCTGAGGATTGAACCTGGGCCACACGCATGCTAGGCGAGCGCGCTACCACTTGAGCCACATTCCCAGCCCCCTAAAGGATTCCAACATGGCGGCGGGCGCGGAGAGATCAAGTCTCTGACCTCTTCAGTTGTGCAGGCATAGGGAGTCATAAACAACCTAAATCTGTCTGCTCAGGATCACTAGGCAATGTTGAGCTGACGTGAATCTGGGGCGAACAGTCTGGGCCTCTCAGAACACACTGAGCCCGGATCGGCTGAATTCAAGCTCCCGTTCGCCTGCTTCCCACAGACAAACAGCTGTGACTCAGCACTAATCCATCTGGCTGAAACAACTGGTCAGCACTTCTGATCCTACGGAGGTAAATGCCTAACGAGCCTTCATAGGTAGTGGCCACAGGTTTGAAACGGGGCTTGGGAGAGACAGTAAGGACCCACCCGTTGCATTGGTCACCCGGCAAAGGGAAACGAACTGTCGCCATTTGCAAGAGATACCACCATGGCAGAGAACTGACGTCATCAGACTGCAGCGGAGGAGATACCTTCATTGAAACCTGCGGCTACAGGTGTGTAGTCCCCTAGCCTTCCCTCTCCACACATCGGGGAAACCTTAAGGGCCCCTCCCAGCTCTCCTGTAAGGGCCCCTCCCAGCTCTCCCGTAAGCGCGATAGCCAGACCGAGGGAATCAGAGGTGGCACGGGACCCGCAGCGCGGAACTACCGCTCTCACCAGTGCTGACAGCTGAGGTCTCTTGCACCAGCTACCGGGGGCGTGGCTACCAGAGGGCAAGTAAAATTCGCTGAGGATTCTCAGCCCCAAGCTCTACAAACTTAGGGTCTGAGGGAATGGCAAACAGGGAGAGTGTGCCCAGGTGTTCATGAAAACAGGGCTCCCGGGAACAGCAGACCTGGCGTGTAGCCAGTATTGTGGTGAGCGGCACCCGTGAGAGGGGCCTGGCTAGAGGAAAAGTGGGGAAGTGACTACACACAAGAGGAGGTCCTAGGCACTCAGGATTGGAGACTCGCCCAGTCTGGGAGGAGGAGCTGCTGCAAAGTGATTGATTCCCGCTTATTGAGAGGAGAAGCTTGGCTCGGTGGGCACAGCTCCACCTACTGGAAGAGAAGTTAATCAAATTCTAAGACTGCATTTATTAGTTTTTTTTTTCTTTTTTCCTTTCTCTTTTTTTATTTGGGTTTTTCTTTCATTTTCATTTTTCTTTCTTGTTGTTTTTTAATTTTTTTTAACAATTTTAAAAATTTTTTCTTCTAATTTTAATTTTAATTTTTTTTTATTATTTTTTAAAAACAATTTTTTTTCTTTTTTTATTTCCTATTTTTTTCTTCTTTTATCTTTTCATTTCTTTTCAATTATCGTATCCCCCCTTCCTTGAATTCTACCTGCTTACTCTCATTCTCTTTAGTGACTTCTTCCCTTCCCTTCTAATACCTTTCCTCCCAAGCATCAAATAAATTTATAGGACTAAACAGTAGCTCAGCAGTCAAACAGAACAGGAAGTAACATGAGCACCTTCAAAAAGCAAGGAAGAAAAGGAGTACAAACAATGCAGGACAGCCTAAATATTCAGGAGGACCTAGAGACATCAGAAAAATGGTCATATAAAGAACTCAAGGAACACCTTAGACAGATGGAATGGAACCTTAAAGAGGATACAAGACAGCAAATTCAAGCAGCGAAAGAACACATTGAGAATGAATTACATAAACAGATAAAAGAAGAAGTTAAGCATCTTTATCAGGAGATATAGATTATAAAAAATAATCAAACAATAATTCTAGAAATGAAGGAAACGATAAACCAAATTAAAAACTCAATTGAGAGTATCACTAACAGAGTGGAGCAAGTAGAAGCCAGAACATCAGATAATGAAGACAAAATATATCATCTTGAAAAGAGTCTAGCCAACTCAGAAAGGTTGGTAAAAAATCACGAGAAAAACATTCAAGAGTTATGGGATAACATAAAAAAAACAAACTTACGAGTCATCGGGATAGAAGAAGGTACAGAGATTCAAACCAAGGGAATGAGTAACCTGCTGAATGAAATAATTACAGAAAACTTTCCAGAAATAAAAAAGGAAACAGATATACAAATTGAAGATGCATATAGGACACTGAGCACACAAAATCACAGTAGACCACCGCCAAGACACATTGTTATGAAGATATCCAATATACAGAACAAAGAGAAAATATTAAAAGCTACAAGAGAAAGGAGAAAGATTACATTCAGGGGTAAACCAATAAGGTTAACAATGGATTTTTCATCACAGACACTGAAAGCAAGAAGGTCATGGAACAATGTATTTCAAACACTGAAAGACAATGGATGCCAACCAAGAATTCTGTATCCAGCAAAATTAAGCTTCAGGTATGACAACGAAATAAAAATCTTTCATGATAAACAAAAGTTAAAAGAATTTGCAGCCAGAAAACCAGCATTGCAAAGCATTTTGAGCAAAACACTACATGAGGAAGAAATGAAAAACAATAACCAAAACCATCAGGCGGAAGAGCCTCGGTAAAGACAGAGGGCAAGGGGAAAGATAATTATGGAGAAACAAACTAAATTTTTTAAAAAAAGGATAAATAATCAAACATGGATGGAAGTACAAACCATATATCAATAGTAACTCT